AAATGCAATTAATCAAGTATTTCCAAACTGTCACCAAAGATTTTGCTTTATACACTTGTATCAAAACTTCCAGAATGCTGGGTTTAGGGGAGAAGATCTTAAGAAATGCATGGATAATGCTAGTTATGCTTATAACCAACATAAGTTTAACATTGCAATGGATGATCTAAAAATGAGAGTGAGGAAGCTTGGAAGTGGCTGAGTGGAGTACCTGCAAGATTCTGGGCTAGGCATGCTTTTGATACTAACTGTAAGACAAACTTGGTTGTTAACAACCTATATGAGGTGTTCAACAAGTACATCCTTGATTATAGGAAAAAACCTATTAGGACTATGGTTGATGGTATTAAGAATAAGCAGATGGTGAGGTGGCATAGAAATAGAGAGTGCAAAGGCAACTCTGTGGGAGTCACACCCCATTATGCTGAGAAGCTAGAGGTGGAAACGGAAAGGGCTAGATTCTGTAAACCCATTCAAGCTGGTGTTAATCTATGGCAAGTAACTAGTGGGCAGCAAACACATGCTGTCAACTTGGAACTTCATACATGTGGTTGTAGAAAGTGGGGCCTGAGTGGCACACCATGCAACCATGCAATGTCAGCAATTAACAAGGCAAAAGGTTTTCCAGAGGACTATGTGGGCAAATTCTTCAAAAAATCTTTTTACCTAGCAGCATATGAACCAATGATATATCATGTTCTTGGTGAACATGATTGGGCAAAGACAACAGGACAAGACATAGATCCACCTAAATTTCATGTGAAGAAGGGAAGAAATAAAGAGAAGAGGATAAAGGGCAGATCCGAGGTTCCAAAGCCAAAGGAGAGTTCAAGAATGACCACTATAACATGCAGCAACTGTGGGCTCCAAGGCCATAGGTACACCAGCTGCAGCAAACAATTGAAACCAGAGCTGGCTTTAAGGAAAAATAAGCATATGGTAATCACCTTGTTAACTAGTACTATGTTTTGTATTTATTGTATGTTTCCTTCATTTTTTCAAGGCATCTAGAAGATCAAGGAATGCTGATGAAGGTACTGCACCTGCAAGGGCATAGGCTGCACCTGCAACATCACAGGCTGAACCTGCTAGATCACAAGATGCTCCTGCTAGATCACAGGTTGCACCTGCTAGATCATAGCACCTTCTGCAAGGACTGCAAGGCATTCAAGGCCTTTCTTTGCACCAAGATCTGCTGCTGGGGCTTCCGCTTCTAGTGCTTCCACTTCTACTGGCCCTACAGGTCATTCTGGATGGATGGCCTTTTTTACTGCAAGTGGAAACACATGAGTGTCATGAGTCATGTTTCTAAACTATGTCAGAGATGCCCAAGAGATGAGGGGGCAAGTTATGTATGTTTCAAAACAGTTATCATTTTGGGTTGACATGCTTTCTGTTAGACTACTCTTTCTATTATGTATGAGTCATGTTTCTAAACTATGTCAGAGATGCCCAAGAGATGAGGGGGCCAGTTATGTATGTTTCAAAACAGTTATCATTTTGGGTTGACATGCTATCTGTTAGAGTACTCTTTCTGTTATGTATGAGTCATGTTTCTAAACTATGTCAAAGATGCCCAAGAGATGAGGGGGCAAGTACTATATGTTTCAAAACAATTATTATTTTGGGTTGACATGCTATCTGGTAGAGTTTCAAAACAATTACTCCCTCCGTTCCAAAATAGATGACTCAACTTTGTACTAACTTTAGTACAAAGTTGAGTCATCTATTTTGGAATGGAGGGAGTATTATTTTGGGTTGACATGCTATATGTTTCAAAGTTTTAGTCTTTAGGGGTTGTCAACATCGACGGAACCCAAAATAGCCAAAGTTTTAGTCTTTAGGGGTTGTCGACATCAACGAAACCCAAAATAGCCAAACTTTTAGTCTTCAGGGGTTGTCAACATCGACGGAACCCAAGATAGCCAAAGTTTTAGTCTTTAGGGGTTGTCGACATCGACGGAACCCAAGATAGCCAAAGTTTTAGTCTCTAGGGGTTATCGACATCGACAGAACCCAAAATAGCCAAAGTTTTAGTCTCTAGGGGTTGTTGACATCGACGGAACCCAAAATAGCCAAAGTGTTAGGGTTTAGTTTTTCCATTCTACTCCCCCCCGTCCCGAAATATAAGAACATTTTGCAAGCTATGTTAGCTTGCAAAACGTTCTTATATTTTGGGACGAAGGGAGTATCTATCTATCTAACTACATCCATATATGAAATACACAAAGATGATAAAACTTCATAACTTTACCATTCTATGAAGCATCTATGAAAGCAAGATAATTCCAACTGAAAGATCCATACATAACATAACCATAATAGATTCTTACAGCAACATACTGGAGTTCAACATAGTTCATAACTTAAAGCAACATACTTAATAGATTCTTACAGAACCATAATTCAAACTAAAAGATCCATACAGATATACAGAATAGATCCATTGATACTGCTTCACAAAAGGTCAGCTAAGCAGCCTCTTCATCTTGTTCATTCATCCAAGATGGCCTGGATCGCCTTCATTTTCTGCTTGTTGTTCTCCTCTGCCTTCAACAGACTAGCAATCTGAAGCTTCAGCTGAGCCCTTTCTTTAGTGAGCTTGTCATGTCCCCTTTTCATATCACCCATGTGATCCTTCAACTGGAGATTCTCTTGGATGAGCTTATCATGTCCCTTTTTCAAATCACCAATGTGATCCTTCAGCTGGAGATTCTCTTGGGTGAGCTTTCCCTGAGACTTAGTGAGTTCATCAACCTGCTTCAGCTTCAGATTCTCTTGGGTGAGCTTTTCCTGAGATTTAGTGAGTTCAGCATCATGCTTCAGCTTGAGATTATCTTGGGTGCGCTTCTCCACAGACTTAGTTAGTTCGTCAACCTGGAACTGCAAGTTCCTCATGGCTGCACTAAGCACTTCCTTCTCTTTCAAATGGTTGAACTTCACGTTCCTGATGACAGTGCCTTGGGCTTTTGTCAGGTTCATAAGGACTGCATACTTCTCTTGCAGCTTGAAGATCTCTGCCTCTTTCTTCTCCATCTCTGTCTTCATATCTGAGACAACTGAGTTGGTCACCTCAGCTTTCCTCTCCTTTGCACTCTCCATCTTAGACTGCAAATATCTGAAATCCAGCACCCTATCCTCTTGGGCATTCAAAAGTCGATGAACATCTTCAACTCATTTGTCATAGTTGGCCTCCAGTTTATTTTTTCTTCTGTCAAATGGTGAATAGTGAGTGAACTCTCCAGGTTATGCTTCCTCCTATCACTCTTGCTGTCTTGATACATTTCCCATAGCTTCAACAATGCATTCTGCATTGTAGGAGGCCACTCTGGGTCAACCCATTGAACAAAACCGCAGTTCTGACCTTCCTGCAATATATTCAGCACCTATATTTGTTAAAGAATATGATTGTAAAGAACATCACAACTACACTAAATATTACAATTAAAGAATATGATCTTAAATAAAGAACTAAAGAACAACAGAACTAACTAACTGTATTTCAATCATATACTACAATTATCAATGACCTAGAGAACAACACAACATGTGCACTGCAACCCAATCACATATCCACTTTATTTAATCATTACAAAAAGTACAACAACTATAAAGCACTCATAAAGCACTAAACTATAGGATCAAAGCTTAAACAATGATGTGCACTGGAAACTAAGCTCCTGGCCACATATAAATTTAACAGATGCCTACTTCACTGATCAACATCAGTGCACCAGTACTACTAACTAGATAAAGAATGGCAATCACAAGAACAAAATCTTACTTGAACCAAACTACTACCAATTTAAAATACCGTGGGGCTACTACAAACTCATTTTAATACAAAGAACATAGAAAGTGCATAATCTTACTTTAAGAGGACAGGCTAAGAACCTCCTGCCCATCTCAAATCCCTCAAAGGCTACACGCCTCTCACATGGCAGCCCATGCTGCTCGCAGGGAACAATGGTTCCCGTCTCAATGCCCATGTAGTCTTGGTCTTCAATGTTGGCAGGGATTTGCAGGAGCAAAATGAACCAAAACCCCCCAAATCAAAGATCAAACCCCCAAAGCAGGAACCCTAACCCTAACCCTAGCTACACCACTCACTCGGTACAACATGTTGTTGTCGTCGGGAGTTCATGTACTGCAGGTTGGAGTAGTAGTCGCTGCTCTCATCCTCGTGCACCATGGTGCAGTGGCCGCGGGGGACTGCGCGGCGGTCGGCGGCGAATCGGCAGACGAGAGCTCCAGCGGGGCGAGGGCTAGGGTTCGAGGGGAGTGAGTGAGTTGGGTTCGACCAGGTAGACTGACCGAGCCAGGCACGCCGGTTCGCCAGCTTGTCAACTGACAGGTGGGGCCGGGTTGTCAGATACAGCGTAAATACAACGTTATACGACGCTTAGCCCGTATTGCAACGATTAGTCTCAATCTTGGTACTGACTTGCAAAAATTCTGAATAACGGTACTGATCCGTCACAGCTGCCCCAAAATAAATGTTTTAACTTTAGCACAACTTTTATACTAAAGGTTAGTAGTACTACTGTATAATTGAGACGAGACGGAGAGAGTAGTAGAATGGAGGCTTCCTCCGGACACAGAGGAGAGCAATCCGCCAAACTCCGGCGGGTACAGTACACTCGACTCGTGCGGCAGTAGCTTCCGGAAAGGAAAAGCGGTGGCGTGTGACCACTCACCAACCTCAACCTCAACCTCAACCTGACCCCTTGCTTAGCTGACGCCGTTATCAGGTTAGCAGCTTAGCTAGCCCAACCCGACCCCTAGATAGTAATGTTGTGATTGCCATTCTTTATCCAATTAGTAGTACTGATGCAGCCTGCCAGAATCCAGCGGGCGAGAGTAACAACACCTGTGTCCAAAGCGGAAACGAGTGACGACGACTGGGCCCGTCTGCTTAGCTGACGTTGTTATCCTGCTATTAATCAGTCCAACCCCCGCCATCCCGGCCGGATCATCGGCGGCGGCGAGCGGCGTCCGTGATGGTGATGCAGACGGAGATGGAGATGGAGCGCAGGGCCTACGCGCGCGTGGGCCTCCTCGGCAACCCCAGCGACGTCTACGGCGGCCGCGCCGTCTCCTTCGCCGTCGCCGGCCTCTGGGCCACCGTCCGCCTCCGCCCCTCCGACCAGCTCCTCGTCCAGCCCCACCCGCGCCACGACCTCGTCGCCTTCCCCTCCCTCCACGCCCTCGTAAGCGCCCCTCCCCCTCCCCCCTCCCTCGCAATGGATATAGTAGATACGTCAACGCCGGTGCATGAACGGACAGATCTAGCAAACGCACGCGAATCGATCCATTGCACCGCGCGCGGGACAGATGATGA